CTAAGCTACCTTCACCCATTCAAGAAAGAGGTCTTAACTAGACATACCCTAGTACAGTCAACACTCTAATATTTTCTAATACTATCCATGGCCAGCAGAAAACTTATTGTTAAAAAATTGACCTGTGTCGAATCTGGTATACTTAGAAGCCATCAGGCAATCGAAATCAAGTGTAGAACATCTCAAACATATTTTTTTGACGGGAGGTATTTGTGGGGTAGTAAAATATAGTTAAACATATCACTCAATCTCAACGAAATATTTGGTTATCTACGCTTTAAGATTAAATTTCAAATCAGTTTCACATAGGTATACAAGAAAAACCAAAAAAGATCGTGGAAGCGATCGTCGACTGTCATACCTGGTTACCATTGAAACCATCACAAACAGTTATGACCGTTCTGATGTCTAAACTTTGATTTAACCTCTATGTTAAGTAAACTTGATCATAATATTTATTAATAAATTGCTCAATTAAAGAATTTTTTCTCATCAGAAAAGATAATATTTGACTTACACATAAAATTTTCTATAAAAATATACCTATATCACACAATTACACGGACAATATTTTGAATAGCAAATGCTTTTTCCGCTTATAAATCATAAAATAAATTGTCTGAGATAAAATATAGACCTAGTATTGCTACCAATTCGAAAATTTTAAGTATTTGTGGACTATTTTCAGTTCAATCGACTTTGTGTATACTTCATGTAATCAGGAGAATGGCAGAAAATAATCAAGACATCACTGAAGCAATTTTCACTACAAATGATAAAACTATGGTATATGAAATTAGATATGTATTCTAAGACGTAATGAAAACTCATCAAAAGGACCTCCAATGAAACAAAATTATTGAAATACAATCGTTTAATCATAGTTTCTAATTTGACAGGTACAAGTTCTATGCTTGGCACTTGTAATCCCACAAATTATATAGGGACTATAGACTAATTAAATAAAAATTCGAATATTTTCTAAGATCACTTATAATGAGTACTTGGCAAAACTCGAAACAGTATTATGTGGTCAATAAATTTATCAAATTTTTGTTTTATTTCTTTATTACTGTTCGAACCCTTCTAACAATCGCAATTGTTGATAAATCTTGGTTATAGCCTACTACATGAAATAAACTTATTTAGTATATCTAACATTGTTTTAGATATTAATATTTGCAGTAAATTATAGCAAAATTAATGTCTTCTGAAACAATGGAAAATATTCTAAATTCAATGAAATTATATCAGTTTCATGCTGATAAGATTAATAATAATAAAACTCTGTCGAAAACCTACTCCAACATTAAAAGAACTAAGCAAAGAATAAAAGAAACAGTCAATATATGCGTATTGACATTAGTGAATAATACTAAATAATAGTAATTACATTATTATTAATATTACATTATAAGTTGAAAGATTGCTTCAAAAAATTACTTTGCCAGAGTCAAATACAAAGTCGGTTTTTAAAAATATATTTGAGTCACATCCTAATCTATAAAAACGTTCTATATGTAAACCTTTTATTTAAGATGGAAAATTTATTATTAAACTATTAACAACAATATTTTTTAAAATATAGTTATAATATAATCGAAAACATGGTATTAGCTTTCTACTTCTTCTGCTTGGATCAAAGACATATTGTGAGCCCAAGATTTAGATAGTATCTGAAGTTAAGTGAATTAACTGTCGACTATATATATATACGAACTTTAAATTTTAAAGAGTCTATCAACAATTCTACTTATATGAAAGTATACGTATACATATATATATGTGTGTAATAGACCATATAAATATTTTAAGAAATTTTTTTCAAATATGAACCGTAAAATGATTTTATAGAAAAAATGTCAGATAAAAAAATGAAACAAAAATAAAACTCAAGTTAAGACCTTGAGGTATGTGAACGCGGTAATTGTAGACTGGCGGCTGATAACTTATATGGAGTGTTTTATGCCGCTATGTAGGTGAACCACTTGTTGTATCTGCACTTCAAAGTATTGTTTATCATTTCAGAAAAACACAATAAAGCAGCATTTCTTCTTATAATAAAAAATAAAATTCATTCTTTTTTTTCAAAAATCAGCAAAATTTTTCTTTTTAATGCATTTTTTTTGCATTCAACAAAACGAGAAGAAAAAATTTGTTAAACAAATTTAAACTTGGTTCCGGTAATGTATGGTTTCCACTTAAACCTATTTAAAATTCCAACTACTATTGCTTCGAACTATAGGTATATGGCCTTTAGAGAAGCCAACTAATATATACTAATATTATATTAAAAAACAAATTTTATATAAAAAAGTTAATTTTATTTCAAAATTTTTAAAATAAAACATACATAGGATAGTAGCTTGAAAGTTGGTATGCCTTGAAATAACGCGCAGATATTAAGAAACCATACGATCTGTCTTTTGGTACTATATATTAATCTATCAATTAGTAGAGCTATTTTTGGTTGCATTATTGATATACTTATTCTTTATAGCATTATATTATCAACGTTTTATATCGATCTGCGAATTGATGGATCTATCTTTATAACATCATATTAATAGTATTTCATACCGACCTGTCAATCAATAGACCGATATTTTATTACTTTATATTAATAACATTTAATATCAACCTATCAATTGAGAGATCTCTTTTTTATATAAACAGTAACAGAATATAAAATATAGAAATCAATTTAACAATTTGGGACATTTATCGTTTAACAGACATTTATAGGTAACAAAATTTTGCCTAAAAAATGATATATGAGAAAGGCTTTAAACTAGGGACCAAAGAAATAAAAAGGTTCTAATCATACAAGTGCTGTTAATCTTACATATGTCATTATGCACGAAATCGGAAGAAAAATCGATAATGAATAATGATGCTTCTGTCGGTAGAGAATATATGTGGCAACAATTCTTTAAAATATAATTATGTTTAATTAATTTAAATAAGAAATTAATCACTTTTTATTAAATAAATACACGTGTTCAAACAAATGTTTTATAAATCAGCGATGATTTGTACTTGATTAAAGTACAAATTCTTCGAAAATACAGCGATTCATCAAATTCAATTCCCATTGACTATTAGGTCTTTCTAAAACTAGAACATTTATTATTATTACTTAAATAAACGACCCAAACCCGGTGAAAATAAAAAAAAACGAAGTTATGTATTTATGAACTTCTAATAATGTTAAGATTAAGAAACGCTTTTATGCATATCTTGAGAAAGTTTTATATATAAACCAGCAATATTATTTATAATAACTGTTATTATTTTTAACATAAACTAGTTTAACATAACTTTTGTAGGCAATTTATAGTTAAATATATATTTCTAATTTTAAAATATTAGTAGCAGCTTCTCTTAAAAGTGCCCTGGGTCACTTAAACCCTAAGAAATGTACCCCATGTGGTCAATTTGAAGATATAAAAACTATTTTACAAATCCATTGATATTAAATATTATATATCTTATTATATATCGCTATACTCTAAAATAGTATACATGATTTTTATAATTTATTATATTTATTTATTTTTTATTTGGAGTACATAATTTTTATTTATTTATTTTATATCATATTATTATATTATAATATAATATAATATTATATTACATTATAATTATATTATTATTATTTCAGCATTTATTATTAGTGAATATTGTTATCATCATATTAGTTGATATATATATATAGATATATATATACATCTGTTTTTATATATACTAGTTTATATATATATTTATATAGTTTTTATTTAATTAAATTTTTATATATACATTAAACAAAAATATATATATCAATGACATATTTTATAATTTAAATTTTTTTTATTTTTAGTTGGAATTATATTTATTCATAATTGGCAACACTCTTACAACTGCAATTTTATAGAAAAAATACACTCTAAGTAAATTTTTATAATTTTTGAGACGCATTAAAGTCGGTTAAGTCAACAGCTGATAACAACAACAAACACAATTTTACAAATCTGATTAAAAATAATTAATTTTTTTTTTTTAAATTCTCTACATCAACAAATTACTTAGTCACTATTTGTTAAAATACGTTTATACGTTCTGTTGATTTTTTTATAAATATTTAATTTTTCTCATTCGATTTAATCCATTACTACCGGATGGATCCGTTGGGTTTTAGATAATTTTTTGGTTTCTTTAAAAAGTTATTTTAACAAATTTTTTTAACAATTTTTACACGTAACGCATGACGTTAGCATTTATCTTTATAACAATTAAAGCTCTTTTTGCATTATAGCCCGCGATCAGCTCGTGATCACACCGCTTAGCTCCGGTTCTGAGCGTCTCGCTTCCACTCACCTGCACATGTAAACTCAAACTGATTCGTGTCAGTTTGTTTTTATCATTTTTGCACTTAACTTTGGAATAATCGCTTCCATTTCGCACCTCCGATTTCGATTCTGTTTTCTAGTTTTTAGCACTACAAACGGTTTGAAATGCGATAAAAACACACTCGAGGAAACCAATTGTTACAATTGTTGTTGTTATGTTACTTGGGAGTTCTCAACTTCGTTTGGTGTGTTTTGTGTGTTTTGTTCTCCGATTTCTTAAATTTCGCTTTCTACTCATTTTTCTTTTGTTTTGCTTTTAGTTTTTAAATAATTCTTATTACTTTTAAGTTAATAGTAATATAGAAAATAGTCTTGTTAAGCATTTGCAACCAGTACCGCTTCAATTAGTGATACACACAAAGAAAAATATTAGTTCGAGTTTCATTAAATATGATATTAATTATTTTAATAATATATATAAAAAACACTTTGGGACTTTCTTTAATGCAAACTACTTTTAATAAATAAATTGTTT